GGTGTAGGTTATTTTAAATTAAATATAAATAAAACTTGTTCAAACAATGATACATAAATACATTTTCATTGAAACGATATTCGCTTAAGAAATATTTCAAATATCAATGAAAGAAAGAAAGCGAATCTTTAATAAAAAAGCGATTGAAAACCAGCCTTTGGAACATTTACTTACCTCAAGAGCAGAAACAGGCAGGTGGAAATAAATGTTAACCTGCACCGATTTCACTGAAACTTGACATGTGCTCTTATTTTACTTAGGAATAGCGAATTATGAAATTTGATAAAAATGGAATAATTGCCCGCCCTCCACTCTCGTGGACGGAAACATTACATTTCATCAGATTTCGAGGAAATTTAGTTTGTACTCTCTATTTTATTAGAGAACTCCAAATATTAAGTATGTGGAGAACTGGATCGCTATGACGTCCAAAACTTACAAAAAATATGAGCCCACACATTAAATGTTAATATGCTTTCTTTTTTGGTTATTGCTGTTTCCGACAGGGTGGGTGTATGATATATTTTGGAACGAATTTCCGTCATCCTCTGTCAAATTTGCTTTGGAGACAAACCTGTGTCGACGTTGTGCCATCTTCAGTGTCATTTTACGTTCTGGATAGTTAGTTTTGCAGTATATGGGATGCTCAAAGGTAGATGAATTACTGCGGCTTGTTTTTACTGGCAGGTAGAAGTCCGTTATTTTTACCTTCTTTGTTTTTGTAGTTAGTATATTCCCTTCCATGTCCATCCTTAATATTTTGTTGTTGTCGTTTTTCTTCTCGTACAGTAGGTTTAGAGGTTCAAATACTACGTCCGATACAGTATTTATTTGCTCATTTATTATTTGTCCTTTGAAGGTCTTCTGTTTATATATTTTCTAATATATTCAATCTTTGTCCTTTATGTTGTATATGGAGAAGTTCTGCTGTTTATTCAATCCTCATTGGTGCGCATTCATTTTTGATCATGTGGTTTGCCAAGTTCGATTCCGTTGTGGCCTCTGGTTTTCGTGTTTTTTATTATGATCCCTTATGTGTTCTCGATACCTTGTCCTTATATTTCATCCTGTTTTCCCTATGTAGCTATATCGGCAGTCGCAGGTTAACTTGCAAACGCCTTGCTTAACTAGCGTGTCTTCCTCGCTTGTTATCTCTTTTAATATTCTTCCCACATATGAAAGAATTTGGCAAGTTTATGCGATGTCTTTCCCGTGCAAGTTAGAACTGCCCAAGTTTTTTTATTATTTTCCTCTTTGCTTGTCTTTTTCGATTTTGTG